GTCAGTGTGGGTATTAAATAATAAATTCGCTTTATCATCTGAGTTAAAATGAAAAAAAGCCACTGGGAAAAAAAATTAAAAGCAGACGTTTCAAACGTAGGGCATTCTACAGAGGGAAATGACTGAAATATACTACTCTCTAAATAGGGAAACTAGTATCAAAGATCTGCACAAGTGTCTGAAATCGGACTTCAGTGTCACAAATCGGACTCGATTGTGTATAAAATTGGAGACTTGTGTATAAATTTGGACACTAGTATATAAAATCAGACACTAGCATATAAAATCGGATACTTCTAAAAAATCAGACACTAGTGGATAGAATCGGACACTATAGTATAAAATCAGACACTAGTATATAAAATCGAATACTTGTGTATAAAATCAGACTCTAGTGAATAGAATTGGACATTAATTTATAAAGTCGGGCACTTGTGTATAAAATCAGACACTAGTGTATAAAATGGGATGACAGTGTCTACAATCAGATTCTAGTGTCTAGTCGGACACTAGTGTATAAAATCAGACATTAGTGTGTACTATCATCATCATTATTATTACTATTATCATAATTTTTTAATTTTTATTATTTAAAACCATCATTTATAAGATATTTTTCAGAACACCTTTATTATTTTAGAATTTCACACATTTCATTTCAGCTTTACTAAGTTCTTCTGATAACTGTAACTTTCAAAAGGGTGAAAGGCAAAAACTTTTATGGGCTTTTTTATTATCCAGAATACAAAACAAGCCTACAAAGTAAGTGGAAAGCCTGAAAACTCATGCTTAATTTCGTATCAGATGGTCTCAAAATCTACCAGCGATCTACCATGTCTCGGAGAGCTAACCTTGTAGTATTAGAACTTAGATTTCTTTATTATCTGCACGTCCTTCATACCCTAACCAAAAGCTGTTTTCATATTGCTGACACAATCACTACTCTAGTCTTTATCATTGTGTACGCGGTGGTAAATGTTAGTTTACTTGCACACGGTGTTGTATTTGTGTAACCTGCGTAGCAGACGTTTTCTTTTTTGTTTGTTTGTTTGTTTGTTTTTTTCATTCCCCTTACGGCCTTGCAACCTGCTTGGGTGCTCTCCAACAAAACCATTGGCAACTCACTCTAGTTACTACGGTCTCGCAGGTAAAATCATATATTCGTTGCAAATCTCCGAGGAAGCTTCAATAGTTTCTAGTTTAAAATTAAAGAGTCACCTACGTGATCTACGAAAACCGAATGCACCTAGCATCAAGCAGTTTTGTCAAAGGAAGTTCCATCTCGATAAGCTCTCTAAGTTCTTTTAAGAAATCAGTCAGTGGTACTGGATCCTGTAAAAAAAGGGGTAAGTCCTAAGTTAGGGTTTGGGGGAAGTACACCTTCACTAGGAATAAAGTTTGTTTATTTCTTGTCTATACACTGATAGTATCTCACAGCGAACACAGCGGGACATGTTAAAAACTTAGTTATATTTGGTTTACGACCAACTTCGACTAAACACAAGGTAACGTTTTTTTCCTTGTTGACTCAGGGGATGAAAAAATAAGTATTTTCGCGTCCAGTGCGACCAAATATATTTAGTAAATAAACATTTTATCATTTAACTGCCGTTTTCTCTTTATCTTCTTTTCTTTTTGTACTTATTCCGAACGCTTGTGTGGTTTTTTTCTGACACTGCTGATGCCATCGCGCAAGGGGGATTTTTTTAAAAATGATGTTTTACGATAAAAGCGCACACAAAGCTGTGCAGGTCATATTATGTAGGAAACTATCCTGAACCAATCATCTGCATATAGCTGTATCAAATATCATGATTGTCCAGGATAGTAAACAAGCGTAAATTATGAAGAACACCATGGATAAAAAATGACTGAATTCTTAAACAGTCTGATGTAACATTACATCAGTGAGCCTCAACTAACGTAGTTTGCGGTAATCAAACGAGACCGGTGAAAGAGGGCAGCGCTCCTTTGCTTTCAGAGGAGCCAAACTCTGGAACTCCTTGAATGATAACATTAAGTCCTTAAAATGCCCCAGGAATTTTAGACGTCATCTTGCAAATGTTTTATTAAGTTGATATATTATATTATTGATATATATTTTGTAATTATAATATTATTGTATTTACATTCTCAATTAATTTATATATTTGTATTTTTTTATTCTATTGAGCTGAAAAGCCCACTTAGGGAGCATCACTAAAGTGTGTATGTATGTAAAGAATGAAAGAAGTCTACAAGATACGTCATTAAGATTCATCTCTTACCATTCAACTTTGGAGCCTCGGTTTGGTGTGGAACCCAAGCAGCCAAAAATATGTTTCAGCTGTGTATTCTTGGCTGGTCATGAAACGAAAAATTGAAATTCATTTGATCAATTTTCGAGACTATAACATTAAGATTATTATCAATAAGATTATAAAATATCGTTACCATTATGAGTATGATTTATTTATATCAAGAATAGCATTATTATTGTTACTTTTATTACTACTATCATCAATCAATTTTCGCGTTACACTACTATCTTAAATCTTAAAACCATAAACCTCTACATTATTATCTATCCAAATATATAAATAAAACAAACGAGGTGTTGGAAAAGTACTAGCTAAGGACGAATCAACAGGAAGTTAATATGATAAATTTTCTAGGACTGCAGATTAAATTTTTTCTTTAATATAACACAGTAGGTTACATAATTTCAAATATCAGTCGATTCCTTCCCTCTGTTGACCAACAAATATAACTTACCGTGTGGAGGTTTCGTCGGACTATTCTTACGTTTCTGTGGTAGCTTGATCCTTACGCCTCTGTTCTAAGAAAACAGACGAGTTTTTTAGGTTATTCGATTTAATTTAAATAGGAAATTTCAACTCCAATTTGTGCGTACTTTGTGGGTTTTTAGATACGTAAATATACAAAGGTTAACTAATGTTAGATCCCTATTTAAGCAACTAGCATTATTGTCAATTTTGTTGTTGTTATTATTATAATCTTGTTATTATTATGATAACAATAACAATAATAATCATCATCATCGTTATCATTATTACTATCACTATTTCTTCCATCACCATTATCACTATCATTGCCATCACCATTATCAACATTATTGTCATCATCATTGTCATTACGAAGAGAACATTTACGAAGAAAAGCAATGATAATGACAGAACAAGCTGGAGGAACCTGATTAGAGCCTGAACTAGTCAAGAAACAGTCATTGTTGAATTGACATACTGCACAGTATTATATACAAAAGCTTTCTTTTTTTCTTCAAGCATAT